ACATAGCATTTATTTATTTATTCATTTTTATTAGATTTTTTCTGCAACTGCAACAAGTAGTCGCTTGACATAAAATAGTTCATATACATATACACACTATATAAGTTTGTTTCTGTTTTGTTTTAACTCTCGAATCATTCGGTTGGCTTAGATGCTAGACTCTATCTTCGACTGCCCCTGTTTTATCATATATCGCAAACCTATGACTATATCTAAACGTACATTCATTCAGCCAATTTGTTGGGGTTTTTTATTTTGGAAGAAGAATCGTTTTTTTTTTTTTTTTGTTTTGTTATTAAACTAAAACTTTATACACTGTTTGTTTTGTTTCGTTTTTCTTATACACAAAGCAGAAATCATATTTTTAACTTAAGCGTAATCGTAATCATAATAAACTATCGTCATTCAACATAGAACAGAAGAAGCACTTGACATTATAATCTTACGGCTTACAAAATATCAATTAATATCATTATCGATGAAAAAAACTAAATTTAAGTTCTTCGAGATATAAACAAAGTATAAAGACTAATACTAATTAGATTGGTTAACACACACATAAAACGTTGAGTTAATTAAACAGAAATTTGGTTGGCTCACAACTAAAATTAGCTCTTCAAAAGATTACAGAATTTTCTCGTATATTTTAATTTTTTTTGTTTGTTTTTCTTGTTGATTTTTTTTTTTTTTTTAATTGGGCGCATGCGCCGTACGCAGCTTGGCGCGCACATTTAAATACTCAGGATTGACATATTGACGCTCATCATCGTCCTCGGCATCCTGTTTCTGTGCCGCTCCATGCTTCTGGGCCCGCTCCATGATCACACGCCCCAGCTCCCCCTTCAGTCCAGCCAGCTCCGCTTCGGGTGAATGCTGCTCGATGGCCGCTGCATGCCGTTCCTTTTGCTTCTCATAGGCACGCTGAAGTTCACTCTTCTGATTGAGCACACTCTTACCACTGCCAGAGAGAGAGAGAGAGAGTGATAATCAATCAATCAATTAATCAATTCAATTTAATTTTTCATTTAGTACTCACATGCGTGCATTGAACTTGAGCTCGCGATGCAGCTCCTTCCGATCGGTGTTCTCAATGCAGGGATTGATCAGCTTCTTTGGCAAAATGAGGCCTTCAGCATCCGTTTGGACGCCCGTTGGCGTCGCTGGCGGCGAGGTGGACATGGACATCATGGTGTCTATCGAGTGCTCGGCCAAACTATGCCTACGCGTCGCTGTATCTGCATATAGATAAAGAGAATGCCGATCAATATTACGAACGAATGAGACTGCCATCTTCAACTTTCTATAGGCATTAAATAAAACTGGCATCAGAATCGTCGTCAGTTACTAAGTTTAATTGGCACTTGGCCTTCGTTCCATAAATCAAACAATGCCCAGCAGCAGCAGCAGCAGCAGCAGCAGCAGCAGCAGCAACAACAACAACAACAGAATCAAGAAAGATATATGAGCCAGTCACAACAAAAGAGCGGTCGATGTCTTCTCGAGTCGCGTTCGTTTATTAAGGTTAAATATTTCTTTACATTCATGTCATTGTCAATTTGTTGTTACACACTAAAGAAAAAAAGCAGAAGAAGCAGCAGAAAACTGCCTATCTGTTACAAAAAAGCACCAGCGGCAGCAATAACAACAACAACAACAACCGCTTTAAGCCAAAGGCAAAGCCAACCCAGACACAGACGAGTCAATTCTGAAATTCTTTGCAGCGCTTTGTTCGCCCCTTCACCATAATAACCCACATTTGGGCGCACATTTCTGGAGCAGCAAAAAAATAAAAATAAAAAAAAAGTATATATATATGAAAAAAACCAGTAGAAAAGAAAAACTTTGGTTTTTAGCTAGAACCAGAACTAGATTAATAGGTGTTGATAAGAAACTGAAAGAAATGCCGTTGAGTCGACGCAAACGCGCTTTGTGAAAGTCGTTAAAAATTATGTTCTCAAAAAAAATTCGACTTCAAAGCGTGAAATCAATTTGGAAACTATTTTGAATCATAATGCACATTTGGCATATGAGCAAATTTTTATGCCCGCCAAAATTATGCAAATGTGCAAAAAGGAAATGAATAAATGGGGAGGCAAATGAATATATATGTCTATATACATTATAATACCATGCCATGCCAGAGACCATGCCATACCATACCATAAATATATAACAGCTAACAGAGTGTTGCATACCAAATTTAATGACTTCGGGCCATTAAATGTGTCTTCGAGTTCACCGAGGCATTTGGCATCGGAACAACGTAATTATACGGCGGAGACTGCATAACATCATTTGGTCTTTAATGGTGAAGTTGACCCAATGTTGAAAAATGCAAATAAATATATATAATAGATATATGTATTTATATATTACTTAATTATGAGAAGTTTTTTTTTTCCTTGTGAAAGCATTAGTTGTCTTAGCTTGCGACCCACATTTCATAGAAAGTTATTAAAGACTATTAAGAATTCTCATAGCAAATATTATTTAATAGATATGAAATAATGGGTATAAATTATGAAAGTCTATAAAGATCAAGTCTAAAGATTATGTACCAAAAAATAAACAATGAATATTCTAGTTCCTACTCTTACGATTGACTTATCATATAACAAGTTCCCATGCCATATTTTGAAAGAAAACAATATACATATGAAATATAAACTAAGAACTATTGAAAAAGTCATTCAGAATTATCTATTGTCTATAAAGCCTATACTCTCTAAGTCATTTTTATTCATTTGGAATTAGGACTTTATACATACATATATCAACTCCCCTTAAGCCGAATCATAGATTACAAAATCAATTTTGAGCTTCCACCTTCTATAGTTACCCAGTTCTACAAGACTCATAGACCTATCCCAAAGTCCACTCCATTTAGCTTAACGTCAGTGGAACACAAAAGACCTTTTGCATTGATTGCTGGGCTGCAAACGAACTTGTTTAGGGTCTCTGATCGTTAACCCATATGCATATTACTGCAAGCGTAAAGTTTTCAATTATGCTACGTGTCGCTCTCTTGATATGATATATGACCCGGGCCTAACTGTACTTAAGTGTCATGCCTAGTTTAACTTGAAACGCGCTTAGTTCTATTAACTTTCTTGCATTGCGGGTCATATGAAGTAAAGCTCGAATTTTCCATTGCCCCAAACTTGTTTCACGACGTGCAAACTAGATGAATATGTGAGAGCGGCTTTGTGATACCCTTTATTAAAAATTGTTGTTAATTTAGTTTGTTAAATTAGTAATTTGTTGATTTTCAACGTAATTTAAGAAGAATTTTGACTCGCAATTCTAAAAAAACGATACGGGTGACAGAGAAATTTAACAAACTATTATACAGACTAGATGATCGTAGAGATGGATAAATAAAAGTAAAACAGAGAAGCGGATAAAGCAATAAATTTTATAGCTTTTTTTTCTGATGGCATATATTAAGTTAATAGATTAAATTAAATGAAGGAATGGATGCACGGATAAACAGTCAAATACAAGAATATATAGATGGATAGGTTTATTCATGTATGCATAGGCCGATAAAATGGAAAGCCTATACATAACAGAAATTCTAGCGATACAGATGAACAACCAAACAAAGGGGAGCCTAAATGCTAATGATGCTGATGAAAAGTATGCATAAATTAGATGTTCACACAATATACCCCGCTCATCAATCTTCAGCGCGTGCAGGGTATTAAAACTTTCATTCCAGACAGCTAAAAGTAATGTCTCTTGCTTGACAAAATTACAAGTTTTCATATGATAAATTAAAAATACAAAGACACATACATTCACTTACTCATACACACTCACACACACACACACACAGAGAGACAGCCGCATAACAAGAAGCCAATTGTTGGCTGCATTTGTCTGGTTGATTGTGGGTCGAATCGGACATGGAGGAACTCGATGAAAACAAATTGCATATAATTAGTTTCTCCATGGGCTCGGCGGGCCCTTATAAAGGCTGTTGACTGTTATTTCATTTGACTTAATTTCCCACCAACACACGCACAGCTCATTAATCTCACAGTTCTGTGTGGATTGGAATAGGGAATGGGATTGGGGTTGGGGTTGGGGTTGTTGCTGTTGCTTTTGCCTTGCTCAGCCAATTGCGCAAGTGAAAACTTGTTAAACTGCAGCGCGTAATCGTAATCGCAATCGTAATCGTAATCGTTCGAGTCGTCCATGTCTGCATGCCCAACTATGGCACAGTGGAAATCATTTATGGCGTCTGCCGCTGCATTGCAGCTGCCGCAAAGTGGGCCCTCGACATGTCGAACACACTCGTCTATTGTTCAATGCAAATGAAAATGCAAATCAATCAATCCATCAAGATTTGCATACAATTTCCGATTGGCCAACAGCGTCACATGTTAACATCATTTTCATAACTCTGCAGTTGCCAGCGCAAAAGGTTAAAGGTTGCTGCGACCCATTCAGGGCCATTGAAACGAGCTGAAAAAATGTAAGCTCATTGTTAAATAAACGCTAATTTGTTGTAATTGTGCGCTGCGACTCATCACAAATGATTTTTTGATTGATGGTTCACAGAAATTGATGTCAACTCAAACTCTGCGCCGCACAATTGACTCCACTCTAGCTGCAGCGCGGCCCTTCGTAGATGACTTCACTGTAGCTTGTCGGGCTAATAAACTGACTGAGAAAATTCAAAACTTATACATTTTGTAACATTTTCACTTTATAATAAAAAATAAAAAATATAAAATTAAAAGAAATCTATTTATTCCCGCGTCTATCCTTCTATGCGAATCAGTCGCAGACTTCATAATTTCCCTAGCTTAGGCAATCTCTAAGACCATCTCTGATCTCTTGTACGTGCTCTTTCGATATATTTTAATAATAAATCTATTCATTAATCTTAAGCTTCACTAAGATGAAGTGAGAAAGATAAGTACTTAGATTAACAAGTTAAACTAGACGCACTGACAATTCCAACCAACAAATACTCTGTACTTAGCCCGTTCTGGCTGCTGTTTAAAATATTTTGTTGCACTCATAAACAAAGTATATTAATATATATATCATATAAGATAGATCACATTAACATATTCACAATTTTCGAGGGCAAAAAGGTGTTTCCAGAAATTTGAACTTCAATGCGTTTTCAAATCAAATTTACATAATTAAACATGTAAATTGAATTTGAATAGAAATTAATTAAGATTAATGACAGTGGCTGGCACCTTATTCAATTGTTTGAAGTGGACAAAAATTAAGATTTTACAATGTAAAAAGATGTGTAGTATACGAAAATGATTTGAGTTGAACGAAAATTATGAAGGAAGCACCAAAAAGGTTTCTAAAGAAAATATATAAAAAATGAATATTGTTTTCAATTGAAATTCTCAGATCATATCAATCGAAGCGCTTTTGCAGCTGCCTGTTGCTTCGGCCGCACTCTTCATACAATCTCATGATTCAGTCAACATTTTGCTCAAACGCCGACTGAATACTTAAATTTTAAAATTGCGGTTGATATCTGCTTAGTTGATCTTATAAAATGTGTGAAGTTTTCCCTCGCACAAAATACAAAGCTTATGGCCAAATATCTTACGAATTCATCGGCCACGCGCTTCAAAAAGGCATTTGCAAGAAGCATCCGAAACAAACAGATTTCACCAGCTATATGTTATTATATATATCGTATATAGTTTTTGTTGCTGCTGCTGTCTATCAGAAGACTTGACTCACTTTCAAAGATGGACATGCGACTCATGATGCTCGTCGAGATGTGCGGCGTCGGACGTTGCATATTGTTGATTTTTTGTTGTTTTATACACAAGTGCTTATATGAATGTTAATACACAAAGTACACAAAATGGAAAAGATAACACTTAAATTTGGCTATAAGTATATAGAAATATATTTGAGAACAACAAAATTATAACTACACACAATAAAATTTGTACAAATTTCAAGAGTTATGTAAAAAATAAACTCACACAACAAAAAACAAAAAAATAAAGTAAAAATAAAAAAAATAAAAACACCTACACCCACAGGCAATAAATACAAATGTAACTAAGTTACTTTAGTTGTTCTTTGCAACAACTCGTGTCGAACTGAAGATTTTGTTGTTGTTCTAATTGTTGGCGTTGAGATTAAAACACAGTTGGCACTTGCATTTTCACTTGCCCCATGGGTTGATTGGCTTTCGCTTTCGCGTTGGCTTTTGCTGTTAGTTTTGCTGTTCGCTTTC